GCTAATGTTCCTATTGTTGAATTTGGGGTTAATAACATCCAAAGAATGTTAAAGATAAGTTTGAGATATTTCCAATGTTGCGAGGATTCCAGACACTATGTTTCGCAAGGTTGATCCAGCAAACCCTACTCTGGTGGCTTATGTTAAATCCATCAATTCTTATATTGAAAATGGCATATTGTTACAAAAAGGAATAACAGGAACATCAAAACATGTTAAAAGTCCCATGAAATCTTCATAGGATGAAAAGTCTGCATCTGTTCCTAAGATAATTGCAAAAGAGGTTATGAAGCCTGTTACAGAGCCTATTCAAGAACCAATTGTTCACGATATTCACAAGGAGGTGGTCCCCTTGAAATCAAGTATTTTAAAATATATTAAGAAGCCTACACATAGGCCTCGTTACTTACCAAAGACAAGGGTAGTTTTTGTGGAACAGTATATCTCTTCCCTAAAAACAGTTTTTACATTAAAGCTTCAAAAGATTCGAAAGCTCCAGATTGATCGAAAGGGGGTGCTTACTCATAAACCCGCTGCTCCAGTTTCTCCAGCTTCAAAAAAATAAAGAGCTCGTGACTTGGTGAAAAAGATCAAGAAGAAAGCGAAGGTATTGGAAGATCCTCTTAATGAAGTTGTTTTTTAGACTGATTTCGAAGGTAGTGACTCTTCTATTTTACAAACTTATTTTGGTTTCGATTCACCCTAAAGGGACTCACCAGTCAAGTTGACTTTTGAGGCAACTGGTAGTCTTAGTGGCTCGATTAAATCATCTAATGTGGAAACATCTACTAATCTAGAAAATTCATCTATTTTATCCATCCCTGAGAAGTCTTCAGTCACACCACCTAAAGTTTCAACTGCGAAGTCCATTTCGGAGGAGGTCCAAATTTCAGGCATCACTGTGGACATGTCTGTTATGGACCCAAATTTCAACATGGGTGATGGTATGTCGACACAAGAATCCTAAGGTATTTGGAATGTCTCTACTTACTTTCTTCTTGTTTCTATCATTAATTCATCTACATTTGAAACCATGGTTATGGATACATCTACTTCGTTACCACCATTTATTTCACCTATTCCCACTTCATTACATGCTTCTACCATATCACCTACTTTTTTGAATATCATGGATCAACCTATCACTTCTTTATTTCATTCTCAATCATCTGATGGTCCAAAGTCTACTTTAGTGGTTGCATAGGATGATGGTAATTACATGGTTTCATTTGGTTATCTTCAGTTCGATCCTGATGAAGAGAATATTTCTGATCATATTCCGATGTTAGGAAAACAACTTAAAATATTGAATCGCAAGTTTAATTCATTGCTTCATATTCAATTAGATACATGAAGTTGACATTCTGTCTTAGGCATTGAAGTTGATGTGTTGTTAAAATCCCAAGAACCTCGAATGAAAACCATCATGGAACACATTGATACGAAGCATGAAGAACGTTCGAAGCAACAATCTGATTTCCTTGTTCATGAGGTTAAATATTTGAGGGTAGTAGCTAAGGAATGACATCTTCTCTTTGTTCAAGCAGTTAAAAGAGTGCAAGAGGATGTAAATTTGTAAATTGAAGAGATTCGTACTGAGCTGACCAGGGAGGTTGTTAAAGTTGATCAGAGTTATTCTAATTTTCATACGAAGGTTGATATAATTGCACATGTTGTAAAGAAAGTTGTGGAGTCTTACAATTTGCTTATCACTATCATATAATTGCACATGTTATAAAGAAAGTTGTGGAGTCAGAATCTAATTCCCATGCTTTTTCCAAACTGGAAGAATTATTGGGAAGTTTGAAGGCGTTAGTTGTGCAAGTTACAGTTTCTCCTTCATCTTCGGTGTCTCAATAATCATTATCTACACGGTAGTATGTGTACCAAGTAATATTTATCATACAAAATACACATGCATTATCATTATTTTTTTGTAAACACTGTTCTATCTTGTGAAATATTTGTTTAAAAACTTATATCTTATAAGTAAACAAAAATCGTTTTAAACATCAATATTTACATATCAACTTGGTAGTTTCAATATACCTCATATATAAAAATATATTAGTTTATTTATTTATACAAGTTATACAACTTTATGCGTATGCTCATCAATTGTATTGTTTTCCATCCGTTTATCCGTATCTACAACTGTTAAGTATAACCATGGCAGATAACTTTATCCGTATATACGTATGTCTGTTTATCCATTATCCGTACAATTTTCTCACTATAAACATTAACTAGATTTCAGTATCTAGAAACCACAATTTAGATTTCTATCTTTATCAAACATTTGCAAACACAGTTTTACTTACGGCAAAGGAAATACTTTTTAGATCATATTAAAAGCACCATTATTTTAGAAATGTGTGACACTCACCAACCTTTGTGTTGACCCTCAAAATCATATGTATTCTCAGGAGATCATTAGACAAGCATTCAAACAAAAGATTGACCATGGATTACAAATCACCTAACTATCTAGTTTTTGTTACCTGCTTACCTGTTTAAGGTAACTATTGTACTATTATTATCTGTAAGAGCTCTGCATTCAAAGTTAATGATAAAATACAAATGTTGTTTTGTTTATCGTTGTACTTGTGCTAAATACTCAGTTTATCTATGATCCATGAACATAGCCGCACTCCTGGCATGTTCTGCCTTGGACGAGGCTGTGATACAAGGATCCCATGGAGATCTTATGTGATAGCAAGGATGCAGTCGCATTGAATAAAAAACCTAAGGATCATCGGAAGTGGAGACATATTCCGAAAATACCACTACATTTGGTAGTGTCTTGAGGATTAAGACATCATCGTAAACAATGAAATGGTGAGTGAACAAAAACTATGTAGTCATAGTTTATTTGTTCCTTTTTCCTTAACATGATAAGGGATTTCTATTGGCCCCTCAATAATTCTATGTAAATATTTAATGTGCCAAGTCAGGTCTTTACTAAAATTGATGTGTTGAATTTGGTAGTCAGATGTACTCGTTACAAATTGTTATTGAGAAATATAATCATGAACTATGAGATGGACCATCATCCGTCTCTCATGTTCATACAAATATATTGAAAAAAGGAAATACTAATCACTTATCAAACGACAAAATCTTGATTAGATCAGAGTTCAACACTTGCATTGGAATACACTATTGTTATTATGGAAGTCTTGGACGTCATATGTATCTGACTTATCCAAGTCGAAGACTATTGGATGAAAAGTCTAATGTTATTAAATAATTGGTAATATTTCTAATAATATTATGGTTCTTTTGGGCTTCCCTCGTAACCTAATTTTCTATTAATGAATTAGGAGAAAATAACATAGTAATTTAAGGTGAGTTAATAAATAAATTTGAAATTACTTTTGAATTAGTTATGTAGTTTTAATTAATTAAATAAGTTGCATATTAATTATTTTATTAGTAATTAATTGGAATATTTCAGAACTTTCCACAATAAAGATTGGATCGTTTTTATCCTAGGGATAAAAAGACATGTACTAAATCAAATAAAGATAAAGAATATCCTTGGAAATTTTTATTAAATTGATGACTATAAATAGATTAGTAGTAGTAAAATGTTGGTACTCATTGGCTCTCCAAATTTTCATCCAACTCTCCTCTCTCACTCTCTCTCTCTCTCTCATATTTAATAAATCAATAAGCCTTCTAGGGTTATTGTAATAAACCTTCTAGAGTTATTTTGATTTTTTGAATACACTCTCTTTTATAAAAGTTCTTTTTGCTAGTAGGTGTTTCGGGTGTGACTCCCCTGTAGGGATTCCTAGTTTTGGGTCTTTGTCGTACTTGCATTTGTGGTTGTAGAGGTTAGTAACTTTCTTATTTAAAGTAATTTTTTGTTATACTAAACATGTATCCTTAGGATGCATGTACACATAAGGTTTAATTTTTTAAATGCACTGCGCAAACTAGTATGTATAGATTATATCAATTGATAACAAAAAACTTGAAGAAGTGGTTTAAAAAAATTAGTTAAAAAGTGTTTTTAAAAGGGATGTTGTCGCCTTTTTTCTAGGTTCGATAAAGGCTAAAAGGAGTCTTAGGCTCATTAGAGGGTTATAGAGAGTAGCTTGGATTTAGGTGTGAAAAGGGTAGGCTTAGATTGGTGGAAAAGGTGAGGTATAAGATTGGGATAAGGGTACCACCTTCATAATGGCTAAGGTTGGTGGGTGTGAGCACCGAGGTTTTAATAAAAAGAAGAAAACAACGTTAACTGAAAGTGGTGGTGGTAATGGGAAGCAACACACAAGCCTTTAACACCTAATAACTTTGAAGGGGAGCAGTGCTCATGGGTGTTATTAGGTGTTATTAGCCCTAATAACAGGAGTGGGCGTTGCCCACTCCTAGTAGTCTAAGGAAAACCTTGGCTAAGAAGGTGGGGTAGGAACCAAGTGTCGGTTGGTGTAGATTGAATAGTTGTGTTTGATTTCATATGCGAAAGGGTTTCATAGTTTTTGTATTTGACACTAGTATATGCAAGATGCTTTTTCTGGTCTTGTAGTTTTTGCACTTACGTTTCACAACTTTGGTCGGTTACTTATTTTGATAGCCTATTTAGCTTAGATGTTGTAACTTCATTGATCATGTCGTAATTGACTCCCTTTTCATGTCCTTTAGATAAGGGTTCTTAGTAAAATAGAGAGAGTATCTTTTAACAAGTTCTTATTCAAACAATTTGGTCTTAGCAATTGTGATTTCTATCTTTTAGAATCTCAATGATATTACAATTGGTATAAGTGCAAGGATTCGTTTGAGCTCTTTTCAAATCCCTAATTTGATTTGTTCTTTGGTTTTTCTGATTTCTACTTTGAATTTTTGATCTCATCCACATTTTCCAATCTAATTGCAATATGATCTAAAATTCTTTGTTCAGAACCTCTCTTGTGTTTTCATTAAAGGCGAAATGGAAGACACACCCACATAACATCTTCGGCAAAAAGTAGGAAATATTGAAAGCTTTATTCATTCCTATATAACGGATATTCGATACATTTTTTTTTTCCATATTATTATACATTTTATATAGACATGTCCATAAAAAAGCAGACAAGCTCTATGTACTGTTTTTGAAACATTCACATACCCTTTGTATAAACAAGTAAACAACCACGTCAAGCCATGATATGTTCGAAACTAAACTCACTTGCTATATCTTCATTGGGGATATTTTTATGCTGATAGGCTGCTAGTACTGCAGAATACAAAAGCGAAATATATAAGAATACAAAAAGTTGTTTTGTTATTCATATTGATACTGAGACAACATAAAAAATAGAAGAAAAAATCAAATGTTTTGGGATATAAATCTTACCGTAACAAAGAAAAATGAAATGATACAGTTTCCATTCTAATACAAAATATATTATATGTAAAAATCTGGTTAAGACATTCTAAGTGACATGATTATATTTTAACTAAATGATATTTGATATGCATTCATTTTTTCCGTATACTTACGTGCACTAATTCATTGATAAAAAATTCCGATAACTCATACTCTATTGTATAAAGCAAGTTATATCTTTGTGTTATAAAGTTATATGTGTGATCCTTATGTATATTTTTTTTAAAAGAGAGGTACGACCATACTTTAAAAATTACCCATAATATGTATCATGAAAAGTGAACGTGAGAAATATATCATAGTCCATAGAGTCCATGATAGCATGCGTACTTGCCTTAAAAGTATTCATTCAATTTAATCATATAAGAGGACTTACTTGAAAGTGTATCGCATCCTCAATCATCTTGATGACTGTATCCACAGTAGGGCGTTCCTTTGAATTGTTGCTTATGCACTTATAAGCAAGTTCTTTATACACTTGTAAAGAACGATCATCAATCTGATAACGTATAGTCGAATCAATTATTTTTTCGAGTCCATCACTTTGGACGAGACTTATTAGTGGTTGTGGATTAGTACTATCTCCAAATCTACTTAACTTATCAACCAACATTCCAGTCAACATTTCAAATAGCACAACGCCAAATGAATACACGTCCGAATTTTCATCAAGGATACCACTTTCATGGTAAACAGGATCCAAGTACAAGTTTGTACCTTGTTGAAACATACCAAAATCACAAATTTTGGCTTCTAGATTTTGATCTAGCAATATTTTTCTACTCCTGATGTTTCCATGTATAACTCTGTGATCATTCCCTCGACCTGAGTGAAGGTATTTGAGTCCTTTTGCTGTCCCTAAGCAAATCTTGAGGCGTTGTGCCCATGTAAGGGAACGCCTCTTATTCAAGTCTTTGAAATGATGATCAAGGCTATGATTGCTAGCATACTCATAAACAATAATCATCTCATTTCCTTCATCACAGTAACCAATGAAATGGATGATATTTTCATGGTGGAAGCTGGAAACTAACTTAAGCTGGTTATGGAATTGGTTTTCCCCTTCGTATTCTTTGGGATCAAGGCGTTTAATGGCAACTTTTCGGTTTTGCCAGCTTTGAGAAAGATGTCCTTTGAAGACTGCAACAATTCCATCACCTTTGATTCGGGAATCAGGACTGAAGTCTCCTGTTGCTAATTTTATCTCCTTAAGTGGAATTCGAAAGCTTTCAAGGTTTTGGGGTTGGATGCTTCGTATGGTTACAGTTGAAGCAGCTTTATTGTTCTGTAAATATAATAAAAAATAGAAGCAAGTTTTCTTAATTAGATGCGTCTACTAATTCTGCTATCGACATAACCAATTGATTAGAAAAGTCCTTAATTAAAGACTTTCCGCTATTTCTTGTTTATGTTAATGAAAGTCGTATGTCTATAATAATGCAGCGAAATTAAATAATTTAATATAATGGTTTTGATGTTTAAGTTATCTTAAGACATTGTTTTAACAGGTAAGCGAGTCTTATTAAAAATGGTAGCAATAAATTAAGCAAAACAAAATACAAAATAATCTTGGACACGCAATCGTATTACTATTTTTATTCCGTACTCTATTTTTTATATATTGTTCTGATTTAGCCATATAATCTTTAAATAATTATCATATTAGTATTTTTATTCCATACTCTAAAAAAATTCAAAAAACTAATTGATAAATTAAAAAAAAAAGTAAACTAGCTTTCTGGTTACCTTTATAAATGTACAAAATTTCAATATTTCTAGATCTTATTGCAATTTTGACAAGAAAATGGTTCGGTTTTCAAGCAAGGAATCAACATACTAATGTTATAATGTTTACTTAAACTTGCATTCTTAAATTATAAATTTTATAAGATAAAATCAACACAAAGTCCTGTAAAGTTGGAAAGATTAATTTATGGTAAAAGCGAACCATGCATGCCCATTGGCAAAAACAACATTGAAATATTTTTAATTATCCTCAAAAACGTTAAAAAGAAAAAAACTTACTTGAATATTCAATGCCTCTTCGATGCTCCCGATGATCCTATCCATTGAAGGACGTTCCTTTAACTTGAAGCTAATGCACTGATGTGCAATTTTGTTAAACGTATGAAAAGATCTCATATCAATATCACCTCTTATATCGGGATCAATTAACTTGTTGACTCCATCAACCAGTTCTTGGTCATCATAGTGGCTTCGGACTAAATCCAACAGATATTGTTCGTTAGCATCTCCAAAGAACCTTGGCTGGTAAGCCAACATCCCACTCGAAATTTCAAATAGCACCACTCCAAATGAGTATATGTCTGACTCTTTCGCGAGTCTGCCTCTTTCATTGTAAAGCGGATCGATGTAAAACCTTGTACCCGACGCCTTTGTAATAACGTGGGTTTCTACTTGATTTCTTGGACCAAATCTTGACAAACCAAAATCACAAATTTTGGCTTCCATATTGTCATCTAACAATATATTCGCGCTCTTGACGTCTCTATGAATTACTCTGTGCTTATGACCAAGTCCCGAGTGAAGGTACTTGAGTCCTCTTGCTGCCCCTAAGCAAATCTTCAGCCGTTGTGCCCACGTTATTAAACGCCTCTTCTCTGGGTTTTGAAGATGACGATCAAGGCTTGTATTCATAGCATATTCGTAAACTATGATCATCTCGTTTTTATCATCACAATATCCAATAAATGGAATGATGTTTGGATGCTTGAAACTGGAAACCATATGGAGTTCGTTACGAAACTCGTCATTTCCTTGATAATTATTCCTATTGAGGCGTTTGATGGCTACTGTCTGATCACCGAGTTGTGCTTTGTGGACCATACCAAATCCACCATCTCCCACGAGAGTTTCTGCACCGAAGTCATTTGTGGCCCGATTGATCTCCTCTAGTGGAATTCGATAATTTTCTAAGTTTAGCCCTGAAGAAGACATTGTTTTTGATATTGGTATTATCTATGGTTGTTGTGGGCGCAGATCTATGAATCTGTTGATATAAATAGAACCTAGTTAGTTTTTTGGCGCTTACCTGGATTGCCCTTGGTTTAAAGAATATTATAATGTTGACTGGAATGAAGTTTTCAAAAATTAAATACCTATACTACACATCATACATCTTTTGGTTTTTAATAATATATAAAATAGATGCAAGTGTGGCAATAAAACAAATAACAAGTTGTCTTCAGAGGAGTAGAATTATAATAAAACTGTACCTATGAATTACATCCTTTAATATATTGAATATATAATAATTTGCTTAATTTGATTACTCAAAATAACAATTTTAAAGAATTATATAGAGAATACCTAAACAGCCTTACATACTAACATCCCCACAGTTTGACAGGGCGAAGGCGATTCACTACAAGGAAAAGAGGAATTAGCAGCGACAGAAAATTGCCGCTAAAGATTAGATTCGTCGCCGGTAACACTAATAACATCGACACGTCGCCGCTAAAAAGTAGTCAGTACTACAATGTTGCTATTGATCAAAACGTCATCACTAAAGGTATTTGTCGAGGCTAATAACATTGTGAACGATCTACTATGCTTAAAAGTTATATTCGTAATTAACATATAATATTAATGGGTTACATTAACAACAAACTGATAGAATTAACTATTTATTAGATTTTAATAAATATTCATAAACTCTAATAATAATTTGTAAAAATATTATATTTCCAAACATTATTTCATGTAAATAATTATTTTACAGTAATAAGTAATACATTATTTCATATGGTATGAACCAGTTAAATTTTTTTGCATTTACCTAAAAGTTAGAATTTATATTTTCTTAACTTGGTTATAAAATTTGAAAAACTTTTTTTCTTGTTATTCATTATTCCAAAAATACTAGGATAAAGAAAGAGTATAGGTTTTTCATATGTTTAATTAAAAGAATTAAGCTTAAGAGAGACATGTTCATGTCATAGGGACATGGTTTTTTAAAGTATAAAGACCTAATGGTTAAGAGCTTTGCCTTTGTCTAAGACTTGAGGCTTGTGCGTTTGTTCTTCAATTTTGCATGCAATTTCCAAACACCCTCCTCCCTCTTGATTTTTCTTGCTTTGAAGATTGGAAGAAGTTACTTGTGTTTTTCTTTTGCTCTTTTGAAAATATTACTTGATATTACTACCAAGCTTAAGAGTTTATAACAAATGGAAAAGCATATTTATCAAGTTGACTTCTTGTTGGTGTCCTAAAGGTTCTACATCTCTCCATTAACTTCTAAGCCTCCCAAGAGGACCCAAAAAAACTATAAAAGTTGTTATTTTCTTATATTCTTCTTCTTTGCTGCTTGTATTCTTTCGAAACTTTGCAAGCAGATATATAATTGGTTAAAAACTTGTTTTATGCTGTTCAAATATCAAAGTCTTCCTTTTTCTAAATGTTATGTTTTTAAAACTAATTTTTGAATAAAAACCCAACAAATGGTATCAAATCCATCCTTGCAAGTTTGTTTAGATTTTATGTTTTTAGGAAATTTTAGTTATTAGAAAATATTGATCATATGTTTTTGTAAGAAAATAAGTTTATACATATTTTTATGACAACTCTTTAATTTTTATTTTTTTATGACAAAAGTTTTCATTCATATTTTGTCATTTAAAGGTGTCTTAGAAAAATAAAGATTATATTATGTGTATGTTGATATATATATATATATATATATATGATGTACATAAACTAGCTAAGGATATTTGTGTTGTGTTTGTTGTTTAGTTGAAAAATTGTTGTAATAATTTATTTTTTTCAAATGATATGTAACAAATTAAATAGATAATTTATCTTGGTTTATTTTTGTAATTAATAGATTAGTTTTTAGAAACAATTTATTAATACAAAAATGCAACAATAAAATGAAGTTGGATCCATTTTTTGGAGACCAAAAGCTATTTTTCGCAACTTTGAAGTGTGCAAGGGTAAAAGCAACCATTTTGTAATCCTACAAACTGTTGTGATACATGCTCACATCCTAAATGAGATATTGTATTCAAAAAGCAGTTCGTAACAGGGACAATCCGAAATTTATTTCTAAATCAATATCGACGAGCATTACTAAGCTCATGATGATTATAAAGAAGCCACACATTTGTACTTTATGGTTTTAAGAAATTTTGTGCTATTTATATCATCTTACTTTTGTATATTTGTGTTATTTATGGCATTTAATTTTGTTTTAAGTTTTCTAAAATAGCATTATGCTTTAAATATAATATTGGTTTTTCTATTTGAGCATAGTACTTTTGCATATAGTTTTTTTATTTATGGTATCATATTTCTTCCTATTATAGCATTATACTTCAAAATATTTTTGTTATTTATGACATTAGATTTTATTTTAAGTTTCTATAATAACATTGTACTTTAAATATTATCTTGCTTTTTCTATTTGAACATTCGGTTTTCCATTATACAATTATAGTTCACAAATTAAGATCGCGGTGATTAAGCCCTTATACTTTACAAATTAAGTCCAGGATCATAATAGCATTCTACTTTAAAAATTCAAGTCATCATCATTATAGCATTCTACTTTACAAACTAATCTCATGATAATTATAGCATTGTACTTTACAAATTAAGGTCATGATCATTAGAGCATTGTACTTAACAAATTATGCCCATGATCATTTTTTTCGTTATAAGATCCTACTTTTTTCGTATTGTAACGACGTAAATTTTCAAACAAAATTTTCATTTTAAAATCGCATACTTTCCATAACATATTGTATAAAAATCTTGTTTATTCAAATTACAAAACACAACTCCATTAATAATCTAGGATTCTCAAAACATAACTCTTTCTCTGGTGAGTACAATCAAGCCGGTGCCGTTACGCGATCCTAAGAAACCTGAAACACATAACACATAACACGGTAAGCAAAAAGCTTAGGGAGTTCTCCAAAATACCACATACATATAACTACCCATGATGACCTTTCGGTCCTGCAGCTTGTTGGACCCTCAGGTCCGGTCTACCTCGTTGGACCCTTTGGTCCGGTTTGGCTGAGCCTTCCGACCTCATATATCGTTGGACCTTCCAGTCCGGTCTAAATAACTCATTTCATAATATTACATAGACAAGATGTATAACTCAAGTAAGCACATAAGATCATCCAGTCACACATAAATACCACTCTAGGTAACATATAGTGAGAAGACTCACCTCGGTTAGCAAGTAACCGACAAGCAATCGGTAAATCTTGGACTAGCCTCCGCCTAACATATAAGACAAACATCTAAATTATTTTCTGCCTTATTACTCTTTATACTTTAAATCCACTTTTCCTCTTTTGACCCATAGGATGGGTGAAAGACCATTTTACCCCTTCTTGGCCCCACCTGCCCCCTTACTGGTCCACTCATGAAGTCAATAAAAGTCAACCTCGATCAACATTCCATGTTGACTTGACTCGCTGAGTGCACACCTGTGACCCATCGAATCCTCTCGAATTCTATATGATCTTCCTAGGGTTCGTTTAGCTCACTGAGTTGACTCTCAACTTGATGAGCCAACAATAGCCAAGACTGTTGTGACACACCCGCTACAACTCGTCAAGTTATCCCATGGCCTCGGTGAGTTAGCTCCATTGGATTACTCACTCAGCCATCGTAGGTCAGATCTGTAGCTCTAACTCATATATGTATCCTCCTACTACCCAAAATTCACGGAAAGCTCCGATCTTATTGTCCATACACGGTATATTTTGCATTATAAACCATAAAAACTCCATTAATGGTTCCTAGCTTCAAATCCCAGTGGTTGCTCCACCATAACTTCCCATTTTCAGACTCTTTGGACCCTCCAAGGTCTAGATCTATGCTATCAGCACATAAGAGTGGCTTAATGCATTCAAAACCCCACCATGAAGGTAATACAAGCCATAATCCACAAAAGAAAGATCTACTCAAATAGGGAAGAAAGGGGTCCGAATTGATACCTCCAACTGATGCTCCCTGACTGCAAATCGCGGATCTACAACCTCCTCTGGTCCCTTTGGTGTGAGCCTTCCTCTTCCTTGCAAGACACCTACCAAGAAGCTCAACATGGCTCTCTTTCTTGCCCAAAGCACTCATGACTCGCTTAGGGTTCTCTCCTCTGAAGGATGTCCGTAATAAGAGACCTTAAGTGCCTTTAAATAGGCCCAAGCCCCGACAAAATTAGGGTTTCTGCCAACAGCACTGACTCGGCGAGTCATCTCTCCAACTCGTCGAGTCCATTCATTATCCACGTCACCAAGTCGTGACCCTATTCGAAGAGTTAAGGAACCAACTCGTCGAGTCCCTCCAAGATCCTTAATTTAAGTAATTAAATAATATACTTGGTAAACCGGATGTTACAATTTCCCCCCACCTGAATTAGATTCCACCCTCGAAATCGCTCCTTAATCAAACATAGATTGAATCAAACAACCCGTAAAGCACTACCAAAAGGATTTCCTACCACACCGATATATTTTTCCACAAACACCTGAATCCACATAGAAATTCCCAAGTCCAAAATCAAACAAACCTTTCTGCCGCTAAGATACCCCTTCCTGACATTCCCAAAATCTGGAAACTCTAGTGGCATGGCCTACCGCCAGACCGCCCATTTAAGCTATCACCATGATATATGCTCCTCAAACATCAACCCTGATAACTCACTGCTCCACTGATTCACACAAGAAAAAGTCCAAAAATCGGCGACCGATCACTCATACGAAACGTACAAAACGATCTGAATCACGCCCCAAGGAATGAAAGGGCTCACATCCCACCAGGGGCTCATCCACTGAAATATAATCAGAACCCATCCCAACAATAAACTCTCATCACCCTGTTCTCAGACACAAGAGAAATAATCATGCTCGCTCGGAAGTACTTAACCTCTAAAATCGTAATCCTTCACTTTCTCACAGATATCTCTTTATCATTTAGCTCCT